CCCCCCTCCCCTCTAGAACCCTCAGTTTGTTTCTCAGAGTCCATCGTCTCTCATGGTTCATCTTGAAATTGTTCCTAAGATTTTTTTTTCCCTTAGGTCAACAGGATCACTCGCATGCCATTACTGTTGCGCTGCTGACTTTAAATTAGTTAAGTGTATCCTAAAGATATAAAGAAGACTCTTGTTGACCTAAGGAAAAACAAACCTTAGGAACAATTTCAAATCTATAGGTAGGAGGGAAAACTTCTCAGTAAGAAAATCCAAGAATATATTTAAGTATGTTAGCATATTGTTAACATTATTTTTAAGTCCCTTGGTTAAGGATATGATGAAATAATTGAAATGTGATCAAATTTAATCTCCTAATTATACCTTTAAAATTCCAAAGACATTTCTTCTGCATTTATTTGGATTACTAATTGCTAGTAGAGCATCTTAATTGACAGCTATGGATGACTAAAGGACATGACATTGTTCAAATATCAAATGCCTAATAGATTTGGAACTGACAAATAAAATGTCCGAAGAACAAATTGTTATTAAAAGGGAAATGATATTTATAAATAAATTTCCTTCTTTTGCTGGCTATGATAAGCAAATCACTTAGCAGCTCCTTCACTCTCGCTTTTTTCAGATAATGATAACACATATGGCCAAGTGTCAGAAGATCTGAGAAGCAAAATTGAGATCCTGAGGCTCAAAGTCATAGAACAAGTACAGCAAATCCGCCTTCTACAGAAAAATGTCAGGGATCAGCTGGTAGATATGAAACGACTGGAGGTAAGTGAGCGTTTGGCTCTAACACCAGATTTTCTTGTTTTCGAATAGCAAGGAAAAGGAAGGCAATAGTCATTCACTGAAGACCTAGTATATGAGCAAAGTGTTATATCCATTATCCACCTACAAAGTAGGTTTCATTTCCCCCACTCTACAGATGAAGAAAAAAAGTTCAATGATATTAAGCAAATTTTCCAAGGATACATAGTTAGTAAATTTCAAGAGCAAATATTAAGTCCCTGCCTGTCTTGTTCCAAAGCTCTGACACCACCATGCCTCGGGATCTTCAATCTCAGTCTCACTTAAGGGTCAATTTATCAGTGTTTCCTTTCAGAGGGAATAGCATCTTACTGATATGTTTTAAGACTAAGATGAACCCAAATAGCTCCTATTGCTTCTCCAGGCTAACCGTAAAATACCTAACATCTCTTCCACCGAGGGTGTGACACAAATGAATGATAGAGTATTGATTGGTAGGTCTTCACCTCAAAGAAATGAATCCAGTTTCCAAAAAATAAATTAACTGCTTAGAACTGAACAGGCATAATTTCTTTATTTATATCAACCTCTTTTCTTTCCCTTTCTCCCCCTCTCTTAGGTGGACATTGATATTAAGATCCGATCTTGCCAAGGTTCATGCAATAGGGCTTTAGAACGTAGGACAGATCTAAAGTACTATGAAGATCAGCAGAAGCAACTTGAACAAGTCATTGCCAAAGACTTACTTCCACCTAAAGATAGGCAATACTTACCACGGCTGAAAATGAGCACATCTGCAACTACGCTTTCTGGGGACTTCAAGAGCCAGCTTCAGAGGGCCCCTCCAGAGTGGAGGGCACTCATGGAAATGCAGCAGATGAAAATAACATTAGAGGGGTCTGGTAGAGATGGAAATACCCGAGGAGACACTGCATCTCATGGAACAGGATCAGTGCCTGAAAGCCCCAGGAACCCTGGGAGCTTCACACCAGGAAGTTCTAGCACTTGGAACCCTGGGAGCACTGGGCCTGGGAGCACTGGGCCTGGCAGTGACGGCACTTGGAGCTCTGGGAGCACCGGGCCTGGGAGCACTGGGCCTGGGAGCACTGTGCTTGGCAGTGACGGCACTTGGAACCCTGGGAGCACCGGGCCTGG